GGGGAATGACGAGCCATGTGTCAAGGATTCACTTAATGACTGCATGGCTCACTTCCCCGCTGCAGGGATTCACTGAACAATGGCGGCCAGGATGGGGCCAGCCCGGAAGCTTGGAAAGCCTCTGGCTTAACGACGGCCCTTGTGAGCCGTCGTTAAGCGGACAACCTCTAAAGAGGGGTCTCCTGGCAGGGGGTTGGACTAAAGGACCTCTAAAGCTCCTTTCAAAAGTTTTACGTTCTGGCTTTTAAGTACTTACAAATCTGAACTGAACCAACCTGACCAGTTGCGGGGATTCACTTAACGACCAGGGCGAGAAAGGTAGGAAAAAGACAACCAAGGTCTCACTTAGCGATGGAAATTCGGGGCTCAATTGTGTCGTAAGTTGATGACTAGTTTTTTTCGAGCATTCGGGGAGCTGCAAGTTGAGACAGCTGGGGAGCTAAGCCACTCCCCCAACTTTAGTGGGGTCCACCCCTAACCCCCACCCCCAAACTGAGCTGGGACACTTGGGGGTCCGCACCGAGCTTCCAGCCGAAGGGGGTGTAGACGTCGAAATGGACCTTTGCCTCGCTGCCGGCCACCTTGGCGAGGATGGCGTTGACGTCGGTCTGGAGAGGAGTGGGGGTCCGGTTGACCCCCAGATCCTGGAGGGTCAGCTTCTCCGGCGGTAAGTAGGGCCCATCGTAACCCGGAGATTCCAGCTGGGCCGTGGTGTTGATGTGCAGGAGTTTGAGCCAGGAGTTCTGACGGGCCGGCGTCCAGTTCCCTGCAGGGGGGTGAGAGAAGTGAGAAGAATCAGAGGGGTGGAAGGGAGTGCAGAGGTCATCTAGCCTGACCCCCATCTCTATCTCTATCTCTTCTTCCTTCCTTCCTTCCTTGCTGCCTTCCTTCCTTCCTTCCTTTGTTCCCTTCCTTCCTCTCCTCCCTCCCTCTCCTGCCCTTTTTCTATTTCTGTCCTTCCCTTCCTTCCTTCCTTCCCTACCACCATGCCGGAAACATTACCAACCACTGTTGTGAATCCTTTGCAGTCGGTTGGCCCGGCTTTGGGAAGAAGGGAGAGAGGAAAACCAGACCCCACGAAAGTAGGGCCAGCACACGCAACTCCCCTTCCGCAAATTGAGGTATTTGCCCGTATACACACGTCACTCTTGCTTTCCGGGTCGTTTTTGGTCAATTTGGGGGGCCATTTTCCACCCGAAAAATGGCCATAAACAGCCTGGAAAACAGCTTGAAAATGGCCGAATACGAGCTGAAAAATGGCCCGAAAAATGGTTGTTATTGGGCTGTTTTGGGGGCCTTTTTTGGCCAGTTTTTGGCTGTTTCCAAGCCAGCCTGGAAAATAGCCCCCAAATGCCCCAAAAACAGCCCAAACCGCTCCAAACCGGCTGAATCCCACCTCTGCTCCGAAACCCAGCCCCGAAACTCATCCTTGGACTTCCATTCTTACATACCAAAGAAACTGGAGAAAAATTTGGGCAGCAAAACCATCTGGAAATGGGCCGCTTCTGCTTGCTGCAAGACGCATAACGACCAGATCAGGTCGATCAGCAGGGAAGGATTGAGACTGCCCAGCTGACCGTCCAGGATGTGGTGGCTCTGAAAGAAAAGACGGAGAAGGGTTGAAGGAGGAGAATTAATCGAGGGAAAACATTTTCAACACCTAGGTTTCATTCCAGCTTCATCCACAGTCTGTGAGCAGCCCCAAGACCTCGCGACTGACAAAACAGACAACACACAAAAAGAATCACCTTGGTGTAAAAGTCCTCTTTGTTGCTCGGCTGGAAATTCAAGCGGGCATAAGAAATGAGAAGATTAACCAGTTGGCTGAGAGTAAATTTCTTGCTATTGTGGATGAAGTACTGAGGAGGGAGAAAAAAAAAAGGAAGAAGAATTAGGAATGTTCCAACCCACGGCAGATCAGAAAGAAAACAGCCAAAGCGAACACCGGGGGTAGATGATCCTTGATTTACAACCATCTGTTTATTGACCGTTCGAAGTTACAATGGCCCTGGGGGAAAAAAATGGAAATGAGCCGTTTTCACTCTTATGACCGCTGCGGCATCCTCATGATCATGTGATCAAAGTTTTGGACGTTTGGTAACTGACTTGTATTTACGACAATTGCAACGTCCCGTGATCCCCTCTGGCAACCTTCCAGACAAACCAAGTTAACGGGGGAAGCCAGATTCGCCAACTAGCTTAACAACAGAGGGGGGGGGGGACAGGAAGATCAGAAAAGGGGGTGAAACTCAATGTCTCGCTTAAGCGACAGAAAGGTTGGCCTCAATGTTGGCCGTAAATCGAGGACTACCTGTATTGTCATCCTTTTTTTTTAAAGCCCATTCATATCAACAATCCCATGGAGAAAAACAAGACATTCAGAGGTAAGATTCTACCAGTTCGCCTGAACCGCTAGTTCCGGTGAGCTGCTCTTTCCTGTGCTTTATTTCCTGTTTTTTAGCACAAGCTGACTCGCGGGGATGCAGCAGAAGGTAAGTAACTGAGTCAAAAATGGGCTTTCCTAAATGTAGAGCACTCGCTCACTGAACCTGAATATGTTTCTAATTTCCCACCCACATTGTTCAAATCAGCGTGGCAATTTCAAGAGGAGTACACTACAATCCCCAGAATTCCATGCAATCCACCCACCTTCAAGGTGCACCAAGCTCAAGCTGGCTGTGGAATTCTGGGAATTGAAGTCCACCCATCTTGAAGGCTCCAAGCTTAGAGGTGACCGTGGAATTCTGGGAGTTGAAGTCCACCCATCTTGAAGGCACTAAGCTTAGAGGTGACTGTGGAATTCTGGGAGTTGAAGTCCACCCATCTTGAAGGCACTAAGCTTAGAGGTGACTGTGGAATTCTGGGAGTTGAAGTCCACCCATCTTGAAGGCGCTAAGCTTAGAAGTGACTGTGGAATTCTGGGAGTTGAAGTCCACCCTTCTTGAAGGTGCCAAGCTTAGAAGTGGCTGTGGAATTCTGGGAGTTGAAGTCCATCCATCTTAAAGCATGCCAAGGTTGACCAACACTGGATTGGAGGTCCACCCCTAGACAAATGCAAATTCCATTCAATCCACCAAAAAGATTGAATTGGATCTGGAAGCATCACCTCTGGATTTCTCTCCGTTGACTTGCTTTCTTCCGCTAACCCTGAGGTCCACAACCCCAGGTCCACAGGCCGGTCCTTTGGGAACTGGGCCATGCAAGTGGTGGTCACGCATCTAAAACCATCCCATTTCCCCCACCACCACCATCAGCAGAAGCATGGAGGACCTGATCTGAAGATCCTTCCCCCATCCCCACCCCCGAGTCTTTTCCTCCCTTTCCCACTGGAGCTCACCTCCGCAGAGGCCTCGAAGAACGGCAGGTTTAACCATTTGAGATAGGAGAAGGACTTCACACAACGGACCACATCAGTGGGAGGCAACTCGGAGACATGCGGCAGGAGGTCCGAGCAGATCTTCTGGAACATCTGAGTCTGGTGGAAATTCAGCTTCCCTTTCAGGGGAAGAGACAGAAGGTGGAAGTCAAAACCCATAATGGACGTGGACGCCCCCAAAGGGAGAAGGTCTTCTCGTTTGTCCAAGGTTGTCCCATCCCTGGTGAAGCTCAGACCCAACACCTCAAGATTAAGAGATCTGGAATTTTCCTTTCCATTTCATAAAATTTGGGCCAAACTAGGGCACTGGGTGGACCAATAGGGGCAGTGGTGGGATTCAACCGGTGTAACAATCGGTTCGGTGGTCGTGCACACAGCTTTTGAAAAACGCCCATGTTCAGCTCTAAAACTGACTTTCGGCTGCAGCCCCAGTGAGTAAAACAGCTGAGGCGCAGCACTCTGCTGTGCCGCACGAATCAGCTGGGCAGCAAAACACAAAAATATAGGACAGACCAGGGGAGGGGAGGGTGGATATGGCCAACTAATTGCTGTAACAACCGGTTCGCTCAAACCAGTCTGAACTGGCTGAATCTTCATCACCTTGGTATTTTTGGCGACCGCAACAGCGCCCGGGTACGTCGCCATTCATTCAGAAGATAGGACATAATCGGTCATTAATTAAAAGTTTGGCTCTATCACTAAGTAGCCACCAGGATTAGTTGTCTATGGCTCCCACCGAGCATGGGCCCTAACCCTCTTGACGGGGGATGATGGGATTTGGAGACCAGACCAGCTGGAAGGCACCAGGATGGGGCAGGCGGAGCTCATATCTCCTATCTAAGTCCTCCCATCTCTCAACGTCCAACAAAGGTGTAAACTCCACAACCCATCTGCTCTGCGGCTGCTTGCCAACCTCAGGTGACACCCGAAACCACATGTAGTCCTTGTTCAGTGACCGTTGGTAGTTACAACAGCACGAAACAAAAATAACTTGGTGACTGTTTTTCATGCTTACAACAGTCCCATTTGGCAAAACTCGTATTTATGATGGGTCACAGCGCCCCCCCCCCCAGGGGATCCCCTTTGGCGACCTTCCAACCCGCAAAGCCAAAGGGGATGGAGCCAGATTCACTTAATGACCGTGTCCAAGGATTCGCTTAACAAATGCAGCAAGGAAAGTTGTGTACTGGGGTAAAACTCACCCCAAGGTTTCACTTAGCGACCAACATTTAGGGCTCCATTGCGGACATCAACTGACGATGGCTGGGATTCACTTAACGGTGGAAAAGAAAGGGGTCCCATAGGGTGAAACTCACTTAATAACAGTCTCACTTAGCGACAGGAACGTCAGCCTCGATTGAGATTATCGTAAAGGGAGAATTAGCTTTTATTATCCAAATTATTCCTGGGCACTTTTTATTTTCAAAAGCCCGGGAAGAGAAGACTTACAATGGTTCGTTTAGCGACCATCCGAAGTCGCAAAACAGGACCTGGGGAAAAAACTCCCGAATTTCCTTGCTCAGCCGCGGAAATGCAGATGATCCCATTTAGCAGCTTTGAGTTGAGGGCAAAACTCTGGATTCGGCCAATTCTCCCGACGAATCCAAATTTTCCCCGGAAAAGATGTTTGGGGGGG